GCCTTAAAGGAAACAACTTTGAAGGCTGAAATCATGAGAAAACGATTAGTACAACTATTTACTCAAAAATATAATCAAAGGTAAGTAAAAAAGGATCGAAATGTTACCTTAAAATTTAAACTTACCCTTTTCGTTAAAAAGACAATTGGAAATTACCTTAGCCTGACTCACTTACCTGTCCCCAGAGGAGTCGCCAAGCTGTCGGAACCGTCTTTCGGGTAGACCCGGAATGGGCTTCGACTTAGGAAAAATGGATTAGGAGTCACCACCGATCATTTATTTTAAAACAAATGGGTTGATCGGATACCATATTTCTTACCTGATCTACGTTGTACCAGAAACGTGTCAGATTCGGGAGTCGATTACAGTCAAGGAAGGGTTAGCACCCTTGAACTGTCCTTTCGGTACTACGTAATTTTTAGTTGTCATTAAGTAAGAAAATTGTAAGTTTAACTTAAAAGGTAAAGTAACGATCCAAAATTGCTTACCTTAGATTGATTTGAAAATGTACCTTTAAAAAAGTTGAGAAACACGTTAGAGGAGAAAGACAATGAAAGTAAACAAAGAAAACACATAAACAACGTGAATAAATAAAATGAGAAAAAATAAGAAAATAAAAGAAGTAAAAGTAAAAATAAACAAGGAAAATCAATAAAGCAAAGAACCTAATAATAATATAACAAATAAATAAATGAAATAACAATAAAAGTAAATAAGGGGAAAATATAAATACAAATAGAAAATGAATGAAGACAAAGGAAAAAATAAAAATATAAAATCAGAAAATATAGAAAATAAAAAAGGGTAAAATATAAGTTAAAAGTAAAATAGTAATGATAATAGTCATAACATTAATTATAAAAATAAAAATATACATATATACGTTAATAGTAAAAAATAAATAGTAATAATAATAGTTATATAAATATATATATATATATATAATAACTTTAAACATGGTGTATAAAAAATATTGAAATAAAAATAATTAACATATATATACATATTAATAATAGGTATATAAAAAGGTATATATAACAAGATAAATGATATAAAATAACAAAAATAATAATATAAGGGTCCAATTGAATTAACAAGTAAGTTAGGTGACCAAATTAGGAGGAAATTGGATTTAAAATCGAATCAGGGGGCAAAATGGAATCTTTTTAAAAATAGAGGGACCAAAATTATGGTTTACCCTTTTACAGAAACACGCGGATCCTTCCCCGGGTCGGGTTGACACGCGGGTCACCGCACAGGCTGGGTATAAAGCCCAACAATTTTTTCAACTTTCATTTCTCTCCTCCTAGCAGAGCCTCCTCATTATTTACTTTGCTCTCGTCTGTTCATCACAAATGATGAACAACGCCGTGGGTTTCCAGATTCAGGTCGGTGGCCACCGCCTCGCCGCCGCTCATCGGCGGTGGTCCACATCGAAACCCATATATTTTAAAAGCCCTTTCTATCCACCACCTGAAGAGCAAAGTTGTTTTTCAAAAAACCTCTCGGAAAAGCGTAGATCTAGAAAATAAGTTTCGAAAATAATGGCCTCACTTCATTTATCGGTAGAAAAAAAATGCTTTTTGGGGTTCAAAAACTCAGCAACAATGACATACAAGCAAACATCAAAACGAAACAAAGGTAACAAAATTTCTACCTTTTATTTCTCATATTCCGAATGACTTTACAACGCTTCTTGTGCTTTGTGTGTTTTTCGTGCCTATTTTATGCGTAATATTCTCTGGTAATCGTAGTTTTAAATGGATGATTACAAGGGTTATTTATAATACGAAAAAGTCCTATTTTTAGGAGTCCTAGTTGTGTTGAAATTGCTCTATAGTTCCGGTTTTGTTGAGAGTCCTCTGTGATTGACTCGTTTTTGGTTATTTGCATGAAACCACAACGTCGAAAAAATCGGTTGGTCAGCTGCGATTGGCATGAGGACTCCGGATGTGGGGCTTCGAATGGTGCGGCGCTGGGGTGAGAGACGTGCATGGCGATGGGTCCTCGGCTGGGATGATTTTCCCTCATTGCGGCGCTGGATGGATGCTGAAGCAACTAGGGTTTCCTATGTGTCATTTGTTGTGGACCGTTGGATCTCATCTAGATCCAACGGTCACTGTTGCTGGCGGCTGGAAGCAAGAGCGAGGCGAGCTAGGATTTCTCGCGGGCTTTGTTGGGCCAATGTTGTTTCTGCTGGGCCACATGTTTTTCATTTGTATCTGGGCCTGATCTGTTGGCCTGCAATGTGTAATAAAAATAATTAATATAATATATAATATGTTTAATGCATTATATATTATAAAAGTGTGTTACATGGGACGAAAATATTGTGTCTACAGCTGCCCTTCTTTGCTCATTATCGTGTAACAAAAATAGAGCAAAGATTAAAGACACAAGTTTCGTCTAATGTAATAATTGATCTGTTAATTTGAATTGAATCACAAAAATGACTCCCTCGTCGTGAGGTCGAGTCGGAGGATTGGATATCATTCGTCATGCAGTTGAAATCCAATGTAGGTTGTTTTGTTTCGAGGCCAATATCCTTCGCCGTTAAGTTGAAATTGGTTCTGAAACTGGAAAGTTTATTGACAGACACTCCTTCTTTTAGTTGGATATCCTTCGTCGTGAAGTTGAAATCCAATCTAGAGATGGATGTTGCTTGTGTGCATGATTTCCTTCGTCGTGAAGTTGAAACCGCGGATGGCCCCCTCGTTGTGAAGTTGAGCCTAGTAATTGGATATCCTTCGTCGTGAAGTTGAAATCCAAGTAAGTTGTATTGTTTTGAGTCAAATATCCTCCGCCGTGAAGTTGAAATTGGCTCTGGAACTGGGAAATTATTTGTTGACAGTTAGCCGCCCCTTTGCCGTGAAGTTGAGCTTGTGCTGTCTCGAGTGTGTTACATGTGAAGAAAATATTGTGTCTTCACATATATATTTAAAGAACTGAATTTACTTAAAATAAATAATTTTTTACAATAATGTCAATTAGTTAAATATATTTTTACAATAAATAATCCTATATTTCTTAACTAAATATTACAATTTTACATTTCAAATAAATTAATCACAAAGTAAAATAATATTTCTTATAATATTATTCCGTAATCTTATTCTTAATTATAATATTATATTTTATAAAACAAATGCATCCTAATTGATAACAAAGATGGTTTGTTCCAATCCCTGGCCAATTCCAACCGCTTGTGAATAAAATTGCAAATCAATTACCTTAGAGTAGGGATGGCAACGGGCCGGGTATTGGTCCCCGTTCCCGCTTAAAAAATCACGGGGATTTAAACGGAGATCCCCATCGGGTAATAGGGAAAAATCGCGATGAAACGGGTATCTCCGTTTAGCATAAACGATTATTTAAACGGGTATCGGGCCGGGTATATATATTTAAATTAAATATATAAATATTATATATATTTTTTAATTTAAATTAAATTTATTAATATTATATATATATAATTATTATTTTTAATATTTATCAAGCCGTGTAATCGGGTAATCGAGGCGGGGATTACTAAACCCGTCCCCGTCCCCGTTTAACATAAACGGTTTTTCTCTGTCCCCGTTTAGCATAAACAATTTTTCCCCATCCCCGTTTAATTCAGTTTTTCCCGTCAGATTCGAGTTTTTTTTTCATCCCTACTTTAGAGAACCTATAATATTAAAGTATAGCTGATAATTTAGATTGTCAGGAGAACCTATAAAATTGCAAATCAATTACCTAATATATATTATATTAAAAAGAAACATGTTAATCATTTCGATAATTTTATATTACACTTTAATATTTAGAATTAAAATGTTTCAATTTGCATATACATTTACTTATTATTTAAGTTATTGTAAAAAAACACTCTTAATATCTATTATACTAAAAAGTTAGTTTAAAATAATAAATTATATTAATCAAATCATCTCCGTGATCTTCATAATCTTAAAAGAATATGAATGAATTTCAATTAGTATTAGTTTTTATCTAAGATAATAATAATTATTATTGAAAATTTTATATATATTTTTAATGTTAGATTAATAATATATTAAAAATATATATTTTAACTGATTCAAAAATAACATTAAAAAAAGCAGTAGGGATACTAAAATAATACCTTGCTTTTACGTAGCATGCTACATATCTATATAATCCTACTGGTTATTTTAATGTCAGATTAATAATATACTAAAAATATTTGTACCAAAAAAATAATATACTAAACATATATATAAAAATATTGAGATAAATAATAATTCAGTTTAAATTTCAGATTAATAATACATTAAAAATATAATATATAAATCAGTAAGATATTATATTAAAATAGTGTAAACCACGCAAATAATCACTAATATTTGAATAAATTTTCGTTTTTGTACTAAAATTTCAAAAATAACAATTGATCACTAACGTTTTTACTTATAACAAATTGATCCCTTGTCGTTAATCACTGTTGCTAGAAGTAACAGACTGTTGACGGAGCTTGACGGTCAACATTAACAACTGGTCAAAATGGTGGACCGTTTAACTCATCTCTTGAAGCCACCTCAATCCTTAAAAACTCTACTTTACCCTTATCTTGAACTACTCATTTTAACTTCTTCCACGTAAAATTAGTAACAATAAAAGCAGAATAAGCACATCTCGTGCGGTGACTTGAACTTCCAGCTTCTTCTTCTTCTTCATCTTGGTTTCCACTTGCCTTTTGTTCACGCCATTGAAAGGCTTGGTGGTCAACGCAGTAAACAGTGGCGGAACACTGTCGGGACATATAGGACTATGGTCCCCAATAATTTTAAAAACTCTCATTAAACCTCTCAAATTTTCAAAAAAATTAGTTAGACTTCAATTTCTTTTGAAAAAATATAAATTGAATTCTTCAAAACTTTTGAAAATTTTAATTTAAACCTCTAAATTGTTTAAAGTTTTAAATTAACCTCTTAATCCCTATCACAAGTTCGGCCACTTTCAATAAATGCTTTCTTTCTCTCTGTCTTCTTCAACTTGAACAATATCTCAATGAAAATAATGGCGTTTCTTTTTTTCTTTTCGTTCAGGGTAGAAGCTATGCCAAAACTTGTTCTTCAGTTGATGAATGTGAAAGGACTTCCCATTTCACATGTCAAGAGCCATCTTCAGGTTGATTTCCTTATAGCTTTCAAATCTTTAATTTCTTCCAAAGTGCTCATAAATTCCATTTCCATATTTTCATATGTTTTCTTTTTCCTTTCTAATCAGATGTATCGAAGCATGAGAAGTGATCGTTGCAGACAAGGTATTTTTAATTAAACCTAGAATTTTTATTATATTTTTCCTTGAATCTATGATAAAAACCAGAAACAAGAAAATCACGACACGAAGACATGCATGCATGGATATTATCATGAACCGCCATAACCTAACAAGAAGAAGCTTTTGTTGACTTTTCGCTACGTGTTTGGTTTGCCTACTGGATTTTTTTCAAATGACAATTTAAGAACCAAACTTCAACCCATCAAAGAAGACAATCTAATGGTGAGAACCATGATTTTGACGGACGTGTTATCAAGTAAACCACTTGGATTTTCACTCATCTTCAAAACCCATTGAAGAATCAGATTTTCGTTTGATCTACAATCATCCATTTCCTTCTGTAAGGTGATCAGCTTATAGCCTTTTGAATTACAGGTAAAAAAGGTTGAAACTGAACTATAAGATACAATAAAAACATACAGAAAGATTGTGTTGAATGAACTTTGGTTTTCAGATTTGACTTTTTTCGTTTTCGACATCTGATATTCATAATCTGACATACAGTCGTTCAATATATGAGACGAATGATTATAGGGAAACCAAGTGGAGCATCAGGGGATAAAAGGTGCATGGGGAAAGGTGCGTAGAGGAAGAAGCTAAGATGAGTAGCAAAAAATAAGGGTAAAATAGGAATTTTAAGATTGAGGGGGATTAAAAGAAAATGAGTAAAACAGTCCACTATTTTGACCGGCTATTAATGTTGACCGTCCAACCACTTCAGCATTATGTTCCGTTACTCATAGTAACAGCATTCACCTTTGTTATAAATCGATAGCGTAAATGATCAATTTGTTACTTTTGAAATTTCAGTGAGAAAAATAAAAACTTAAACATTTGTGACCATTTGTATAATTTACCCTTAAAAATATATATTCAGACAACAAATTTTCATTTTTCAAACCAGTAGGATTACTAATTGGAAAGCATGCCACATATCACTGAGACGACACCCCAAAGAAAAAGAAGAATGTGCATTGTTGATCTTATATATTTCCATTATTTTGCCAAAAAACTTCAGTTCACTAAGCGTTAGAATGACACCTACAAAACAATTAGAGATTTCTCCCCGTGATGCCAACAACGATTCACAGCTTTCTCCATATATTGATAATACCGTCAGCAATTGACCTAAGGTTCCCCCAAAGAGATGACTTCTTCGAACTTTCTGCATCATCGGTCTGCTCGCTAGAGAGGTTCCTAGATAATAATGAAATGGCAGAGAATTCGTGAAAAAGAAACAGACATACCAAATGACTGAAACGAAAAGAAACTAAATGCTGAAGATAACAGGGTCAAATAAAGCAAGTCAGAATTAGTTCTACTTATGGGCTATAGATTGCAAGTTGTAGGGTTTCAATTACATAAATATGCAAATGCAGTTAAGTGGGACAAATATAGTAGATCAATTTCCAAGAAGATACGTAAAATATGCATAAAAATGCAGAGAAAGAGACTATCAAACATATAAATACTTCAGATCAATCAAATTCATGGCAGTATGATGTCACCTCATATAAAAATAAGAATATGCACCACATTTCCTATAATTAAGAAGGAAAAAGAACTTAGACTGGTACACAATTTGAGTAACAACAACAATGAATAATGCCATTTAAATGCAAAAGAAAAAATTGTAGAGCAACATTCGTGGTGGAACCATGATGGAAATACATGCAAGCACATCTACAAACATTTTCCACCTATTCTTTAAAAAGAGGAAAAACAATTCTAGATATTTACTTAAACTAAAATCACCTGCCATGCAGATATAGAAAGGCCAAAAAACTAACTCAAAGAGGAAGGTATTTTCTGTTTCTTTGGTAATGGAACCTTAATCCCCGTCATACAAGAACATTCATAGACAAAACTGTTGTAATCATCATCATTGTTATTTTAAGGATGTAGTTAAACCTCACTCATCAGCCCAAATTATGTCAACACAACCATTGTGACCCTTTCATTCATAAATCTTCCCATAGCAACTCAATTCATTCACTAGTTGTGCTGTTAAGAGAAAAGAGAACTTGCCTTGCATATTTTTCCTCTTCCACAAATTGTTGGTGGTGCTCAGCCTTAAGCTCTGGACTCCCAGACCTTAGTGACTCCTTTGATAGAGTCTGTTCCTTTTCATCACCCTCTTTACTTCCAAACTCAGTTTCTTCTTTTAGTAGATCGCCTTTGACTACTCCAAAATAAGATTGAACAGCCTGAGACTCAGTTTTACCCAATTCTTCTGATTCAAGATCTTGACCAGTAGCTTTGACACATTTTTGTTTATTCAGAAACATTTGAAATTTGTCAGAACTGTCTATCCCAACATCCTTTATTTTATCATCTGCTTGTGCCTCAAGACCCTTAGCATCAAATTTTACTACACTATTTTCTTCCAAAACAAAATCAAGACAACTACCCTGAAATTGAAATGACAATTCAGATTAAAAGGTTTTACATGGTTCCACAATTGCACCGGTAAAATAATATTTATAGAAAATAAAACTAGAAGGATTCTTAAAATGGAAAATTAAATTGAAAAGTTGAACAGCAAGTTACAAAGTTGTCCTGTAAAGAGATAGAAGAGCTTAAGGCATTACAAAAGTATGGCTGATGAAATGCATTCTAAAGTATCAGCCTATTAGAGGTCTATTTGATATGCTTGAAAACATAGTTTTTATGCATTATTTCAAAGAAACAAGTTCATATGTTGTTTGCATTTGATGGCTAGAGAAAAACAAAAGAATGAGGAGGATTTATAGACGAACTTCTGTATTCAAGTATTAAAATTGCAAGGAAACGACTGCATATTAGTCACAAGTGCAACTTCAGTAAATTTCGTATAGTTTCTTGAGAAAAATGCCAGCACCACTTTTAGAGCCAAAGTACACCCTTCCAACTAAGAGCAAATTTTATCTAATAGAATAAATTTCTGCATTTATCATTGAAGCAAAAGAACATAGGAATTAGCACTAACACTGTCAGCCTCCAGTTGCTTGTCATTTGTGTCAAGAATCTTTACATCATCCACAGCATTTGCAAAAGTGGCATCTTCGACTTCGACTTCGACTTCAGTTGAGACCACTTCAACTACAGAAAATGGTTTATCCTCTTTATTGACAACTTTTGCTGATGAACTTTTATAACTGCTGTTTGAGGAACATATATTAGGTTTATATTCCAACTCTTGAATAACCTTCCTAACAACATAAAAAGAGCCACCCACTTCTTTTAGAGCTTCAGTTACAGATGGAAATTTCCCAGCATTCATTGATCTATACCTGGAAAAAAGATGATGGAAAGTCTTAATTGTGTCCTTACTAAGGAACTATGAATTAGAATTTGGGACTAAGAAAACTTAACATGACAATCTTAGTTTCAAATAGTTAAAAAACGGTCATCCCCATAACAATCCAAATACACAATTTGAATTAGGGTTAAAGGGAAAGATTCACCATATATATCTTATGCTTGCTGTATCTGAATGAATAATATGTTTAAGCTGCTTCAATTTGGGGCAAATGGTCTTCAATTGCAATACCAGAAGGGGAGAGAGAGAGGATTTATATGACAAAATTGCAGTTAAGGTAATTTACTCGGATGACAATTTTAACTAAATACTGTTACAAGGTCTTCAATGGTAAGAAGACACAGGGAGAGAAAAATAGGATCTAGAAGTCAATCTTGGAGTTCAACAAGATGATATTTTCAAATAATGATTTAACCCCCCCCCCCAACAACACACAAAAAAAAGGCTGTTATATACCCTTAGTAGTTTTCATATCCCAATTGCTGTAGTTGTCCTTCATTATCATCAGAACCATTCAAAACCAACCGAGCATTTGACAGTCGCAAAAACAATTTGCATTTTCCAAAGCAAAAATTATCATTTCAGACTCTTACTTGATTTGAATGATTATGCTTTCTGACACATTTTTACTTATTTCTTTGCAAAACAGAAAAGGTAAATAAGGAAAAGCAATTGACGAAAAGAAGCCTAAGATTCTTGGTTCCGGTTGAAGCTGATACTTTATTAAGGGAAACATTAACCAGTGCCTACGGACAACAGTTAAGCAAACCCTTTCAAAACCCTTTTATTAAAGAGGGAAAACGACTTCATAAACGACAGTATACAAGAGTTAGACATTACACACATTGTAAAACAACAGCACAACCTCATTTCAGCAACACAAAAAGAAGAAAATAATAATTATAATTCTAAACTCTTGAACGAATAACACCCATAAAAAATGTTGAAACTTGGGAACTACAGGCATTAAGGCTCCTCCTCAATAGAGCCACAGCACTGTGAGATGACATAATAACAATACGATAGTATAACCTAAAAACACAAAGGAGGAGACAACCGAATGAAATGAAAAAGAAAAAAAAACGAAAGAGAGAGAAGAGCAGACCTATTGACAAAAGATTCGATCAAAGCTCGACGCTCATCCTTCGACACTCTTTTCCGCTTTGGAGAGTCAGAAGTAGAAGGAAGAGAAACAGAGAATGGTCTTACACGCCGTACACCACCCCATGTTGCTGTAAAAATGGAATCAGAAAGTTGTGCTTACAGATTGCATTTCCAAATCAAACAAAAAAGAAACTCATAAGAGGGGGAAAAAAGACTAACCACGAGCTGCGGAGTAATTGGAGCAGAATACCCGTCCTCCTCTTACAATCTGCATTCTTAACATTCACATACAAAACATTTACAAGGCAAGGTTAGAGATCACAGTGGGATTTTACATTTAAACACAACTTTGAAGATGGTGTTTTCTTTTAATTTGATTTTGATTTTGATTTTGGAGTTAACCCTCGTTTACTCTAAAAGAGAGCAACAGAGAGACCGAGGGTTTTAGCAGTCTCCTTTGAGTTTGCAAGTTTTTTGGGGTTTCATTTTAGTTTTATTTCCTCCAACTTCTATTTATTTAATGAGTAAACTATCACAATGCCACTTTTATTTTTATTTTATCTTATTTTGATCATTAAAATTAGAAATGTTATGTTTCAGTCACTTATATTATCAAATTGTTACAATTTCATCACCCAGGCGATAATTATACTTTTATTTTCTCCGTCTTCTATTTATTTAATGAGTAAACTATCACCATGTTACTTTTATTTTTAATATATATTATTTTGATCATTAAAATTAAAAATGTTATGTGTCATTCACTTATATCATTGATTTGTTACAATTTCATCACCTAGGCGATAATTATTCTTACTTTGATGATGTAACATGTTAAAAAAAATTAATTTCTAATTTAACATATGAACTTTAGATAAAATATCAATTTAATCCTAAATTTTTATTTCATTCATTTTTTTGCAGTTTATAAAAAAATCTAAAAAAATTACAATCCCAAAATCTAACCGAAGTCTCTTATTGTCAGTCGCCACTCATCACCATCGTTAGCCATCATCGACCGTCATCATCAACGATTGTTGAATCTAAAATTTTCAATTCATCTTTTTTTTACTTCCTAAACATAAATTTGATGTTCATTTTACCTGAAACACTTTAATACTACTAAATGTAACACTTCACATCTAACTTAAATATTTTAACTATGTCATGGAGGTTTCATTATCACCAAAATGACCATTAGATACCAGAAATGCACTTTATTTTATTTAAAATCTTATCAAATATGATATTAAAAATTTACACGTGTCACAATTAGAAATAAATTGAAAACTTAACAATACTTTATTTAAGAAACTAAAACTGAAACTTTGAATACTAAACTGATCCTATCAACTAGAGAAATCTGAAGAAAAAGAGACAGAAGATGAGTGAGTTATAAAGCTCAGTACTTTCTAATAATACAAGAAGAAATGTCAAACAAAAACATAAATAATGATTTTAGAACAGTTTAATCCAAACAATTCATTAAATCACGAGAATCATATACAAAAATTAATGCATATTAGTCATGCAAAAATCAAGTACAAAATCACATGCTTTGTGCAGACGAAGATACAAGCTATACAACTCTAACTAACCAACACCATCATGACCAAATAATAGAGCTTCCCTAGAACCCTATCTCCAGCACAGCCTATTGAATATGGATTTATCATTCGAAATAAATGCACCAAAATAGGAATACAATTTTACTAGTCATATAGGGGACACTGCTAAACTTCCTTTGTCACATACAAGAATATAAATGATATGCATGCATACCATGTCAAGTCAATAGTATCATTACCTTAACAAAGTTCCTGCACATTTAGAAGTGTCACGATACAAGAATCATACATATGAGACCATGTCTTATTGTTAAATGAGAAGATATACATGATATAACATCCTAGATTTCGGATTAACGACATTGGGTTGACCTAAGTGGGCAATAAAATGATGATAGGATATTTGGAAATGGTTAGGCCAAGTTTGGGCTTAATGGGTTTTGAAATGAGCCCAAATAAGCAAAAAGGGCATTTTTAAATACACAATTTATTTATTAGCCATTAAAGAATCAATTGGATAGGAATAGAGGAAAGACACACACCTATTTTAGCTTTGCGGAGTTGCATATCATGACCAATAATCTTCGATCTATTGATAGATGATATAGATTCGATATACAAATCTCATATAACCATTAAAAAAATAGGAATAAAACAAGAAACATGAAAAATCAATACCAAAAGTCAAGTTAATACTAATCAATGGTCAAAGTTAACATTAGTCAACAATCAAAATCAACATTGATCAATGATCAAAGTCAATTGTGGCCAGTGATCAAAATCAAGGTTATTAAACGTTGGTCAATGGGTCAAACCATGTCGATCGACGGGTTAAACTACGTCGATCAACAAATATGGTTAACAAGTCAATTATTGGGTAGGATCAACAAGTTAAATTTGATCAGAGTCTAAATACAAGTTAATTCAAGGTCAGGTTTGGTTCAAGTTGTATATTGGGCTCGGATTAGGACCAACTCACTCAGGTTGGGTCACGACAGAATAAGGTCGAGTCTAGCTGGACTGGGTAAGGCATTCGGCCACTGACATTAGGTTACACGCCACAAAAATAGTCTCGACAAGGGTTTCGTCTCTAGTTAGCAGGCCAAGGATTTAAGGATTCAGCCTACAAAGAAGAAATGAAAAAGTAAAAGGATTCATTGGTAGCAGCTGCATGGTTCAGCAAGGTGGTGGTGTGTGATCCTTATGGAGGACGAATCATGGTCGAAAGATCAAAAAGAAAAAGAAGGAAGATTTTGGGGGAGGAGAAAAAAGGTTTGAGAAGATTTATCTAAGCCGAAAATGGTGAAAGAGGCGACAATACGAGAAAACAATCGAAACGTGTTGATCGGGACAACAAGAGAAACAGAATGGTGACAACAATATGGATCGTGACTACGATCAACGATCGACGAGGGTTTCCAGTGACACGGGCCAGTAAAACTATTGAGATTTGGAATATGACTCATCTGTAATATATTTTCTTCTCTATCACTTCTCTCCGATTTGGAGTATTAAATATAGAAGAAGAATTTTATTATTCAATCCATATTTAGAATGTTCGTAGTTATCTTTTCAAATAATATTATTTTCAAATTTCAAATTTATACTTTTTCATTAGATATATAATATGTTTTATCGACACTTTTAATAATTTAAATTATAATATTTAATTTATTTTTAGTTCAATTTTAACATTAAATTTGATTAAATTTAAAATAATATATGAAATTAATCATATCAAATTTTTATAAAATTTTAATGATAAAACAAATTATCTATAAAAATTATAAAAAATATTTAAAATATATACTAATTTAAAATTTTTAAAATAATAATTGTCCGGAACTGTTATTAAATCTAAATATGTAGATTCACTTTAATGAATTATGAATACAACCAATAATAATAATAATTCTTAATGCAAAAACAAGTGTTCAAACTATACTTTAGGTTAACTTAAGGTGCATAAAGAATTTTTTGTTAAAAATAGGTGCCTAACATTTTTTCCTTTACACTTTTAGGCACCTAATGTTTTCTCCGTTACATTTTTAGGTGCCTACACAGTAACAATCATTAAAAAAATCATTAAGTGACATGTGTTATGTTTATATTTTGGCTTAATGCAAAAATAAGTGTCCAAATTATACCCTAATTTAACTTTAGGTGCTTAAATTTTTTTTGCTAAGAATAGGTGTCTAATGTTTCCGACGTTACACTTTTAGATACCTAGACTGTAACGATTGTTAAATTCGATTGCTATCTGATATTATCGTGTTTATATATTTTTTATTTTTTTTAAAAATTAAATATTATTTTTTAAACAATTAAGAAAAAAAATCTCTCCCGCATACGCAAAAAATTCTCCCCTCTTTAGTTGTATTAAAAAAAAAACCTTTCCATCATCCCCATAAATCCCTAAACTTTACTTAAAGTATGAATGAAAAATTTGGGACTAGGGTTGAGGATTTGGGTATTGAGTGTAGAGATTTAATTTTGAATTTATGTTTTTAAGGGGATTGAGATGACAACAAGAAGGATTAACGGTAGTGGAGGTCTGACGATGGGTGAATGATCATTCGACGATAACAAAGATGGTTGATGATGGCCGAAGACGGCAAAACTCACGTAATAATATATTGGAAAAAAAATTCACAAGATATTGCTCTCGAAGAATTAATTGCTGAAATGGGGCGATTGCTACAGTAATTGTGTTGGTCGCCAGGTAGTCCAAACGACCTATTTAGGTCGCCATGCAAGCTGCGCCATTGTTGAGGTCGCCATGCAAGTTGTGCGCCATTGTTGGTCGCCATGCATGCCATGCCATATTCTATCAGATATTGCTTAGTCCAAAGCGAGCAGTGCAGGGAGCAATTGAGGTTTTCATTTGAGCATTATATTAAAGTGGGGCTGTAAGATCATTATATTAAAGTATATAATATTCCCATTAATAATAAAATATTATTATTGTTATTAATGGTTCAACACTTGGGTCACATGGGATATATTGGCTGTTAGACACCATATTATTATTGTTATGGTAAAGTATATAAATATTTATTAAATTATATTAAAATAATATTTTATTATCGAACCCATTAATTAGTTTCAATGATCAATGAGAATGTTGTTTTCCCTAAAGATCATGGGTTTGAGCAACTCTTTCTATAGGGTGTGTACGCGTTATTATTGGTTAACTTCCGACCTTAGATAATTGTTAATTTTCAACGAAATGAATAATCGGGGACCATCTGTGTACTTTACTCATTATAAATATATTGATCAAATTAGTATAAAATGATCACTAAAACTTATCAAACTATTACAAGTGATCTTTAAACTTACTGAAATTTATAACTATTTTGTAACACGCAATGACCATTTTATAATGGCTTGATAAATTTAATGATTATGTTATAACAAACATCAATAACCAAAATATTTTTTACCACAATTTAATGATCATTTGTGTGTGTATATATATATATATATATATCCAAATTCAAATTTAACAATCATTTTATAACTTTTGAAATTTCAAGGACATAAAAAAACCTCATTAAACAATCTAAATGGTTAACGGAAATATTGTTCTTTCTAGAGGTCTTAGGTTCAAACAACTGGATATGTAAAGTGTGTGTATGTTATTAATGATTAAGAAAAATTCTAAATCGATGATATATTGTAATTATCCTATACTATTTATAAAAAAAAATATTTTAAAATATATTATTAAAATACAATAGACAACAAATAATATAAGTAATTATTGATTTTACGAACCCTAAACCCTAAAATATTTTGGTTATTACTGAAAACCTTTATAAATTCATGGTATGTTGAGGGCATTGAAAGGGTAGAGGATGGTGATATCTACCATGATGGTGGTTACATATTTGTTTTT